CTACCCATCATACGCACACACATAGCAGTTCCGCATATATTCACATAAAGAGAGACCTGAATTAAAATTATGCAAACATTTGCAGAAAGGGAGATTGCTCTCTTTGTACTTATTATGATGTACATATTTATAAGACCACATAATCTCTCGAATTTTTGAAAATGTACGTATCAGCATACGCAATTTTAGGGTCGCGAAATATAAAATACAGTGTCGAAAATAATATCAATATTATATATTATTTTAAAGAGGCTGCGCATAATTAAAGAAAATTAAGAATAGGAATAAATATATTATTAAATGTTAGGAACACAAGAATTAGGAATTATTTTATTTGAAAACATAAATAGACGAACACACAATGTGTTAAGAACCAAGAAAAAATATTAAATAAAACTCGTACGTCGTATTTTTTCTATTGTGCGCATAGCCTAATTTAGGATTATTATTATTGTTGTAGTTATTGCGAAAAATTGTAGAATTGAAATTTAATGTTGAGATTGTTACGCTATCGAGGCTTCTCAAGTTACATCGTTCACCGCGGGTGGCCATATCCACTGGCGATACTATCGATTTTACGAATACGAATGCGATTGCAGCAGCCGCGTTAATATTCTCTCGTGACTTCGTCTCGCTCGAGTGAACTGCGTTTAAATTACCGAAATACTGGCTGCTGACATTTTGCCGCTCTATTTCGACGCCAAACTTTCTTAAATAAATAGCGAGGCCGCGGATTCGAAATTCTATTCCATGAAAATGGTGTTTCGAGAGCTAGTTTTACCTTTTCGTTTTTTATTCGATATCACTTCAATTATCTCGATTCGTCCAATTTTGTCATTGTTATCAAGCTATTTTACATAACGTGACGTAACGTTTCTGACTATCGTCGAGCCGGCGAATACAAAGATGATAAAAGTTGTAAAAAGTTAAACCTTTTAATGCATATTCTGCGGATTTCTGCGATTCAATAATTTAAGAATCTCTTTTCTTTTTTTGCGTTTAATCCCATCATGTTGTAATCACAATTTCTATCAGACATTGTATTTTTCGAGAAACAAAGATGTACATACACATCCGGTGCACGCTCGTTAGTGATTAATCTGTCATGATTTCGTAACGGATTGACTAACCACGTGAGGTGTGCTTGAAAATCACAAGGTTCATGATTCCCTATATAAAAAAAATTAACCAGAAAATTCTAGACTCACGATATTAATATATATACCGTTAGGATATTCAGATAAAAATTCTAGACTCACGATATTAATATATATACCGTTAGGATAAAATATTATTTATATATACATGGTGTTTCTAAATAAATGTGAAAGACTACGAAATGATTCTTTGTCGAAGATTAACGAAGATTTTTCACGTACTCCCTCTCTGAGAAGTTACACTCCTCCAAAGGAAGACATGAAAAATTAGGTTGGGTTTAATTTTTTTTCTCAAATTTGGAATAAGTTAAAAAAATGAAATTTGGATATTTTCTATTAGTAAAAAGTATATTGATATTTTTTAAATCTTCCCGTACTGTTATAAGGGGATGAAACTAAGAGCTCCTATTTAATTTTTTATTCGAACTTTTTAACAGACCAGGAGGTGACCATCTAATCTTTGTACATATATTTTTCTTTCGTTTTTATTATATTGTTCACATTTTATTCAGTTTATCTTGATTTTATTAATAAATTTATTATTGCTATCATGAGTTTCTAATTTTATTAATATGCTATTATTAGTACAATATTATTTATATATATTTTCCTTCATTATATTTGCATTTTATTTTTATTTTATTAATACGCTACTATATTGGTTTCAATTTTATTACTATGCTATCATTAATCATTACTATCAATATTGCTTGTACATATATCAAATATCAGGTTGTTTCTCTCTGATAAAGTGAGCTGAAATATTCACGAAACTTTGGAATCGAACAAAAGCCTACACGATTCAAAATCGAAAACAATTCTAATATTCATCTACATTCTAATATTCATCTACCGCGAAAGCTTCAAATATGAAATTACTTATCCAATGCTGTACATTGTTACATCCTCGCGATCTGAATCATATTTGCAACTCGTTATACATGTATTTGTTTTCGTGGAAGCATCAGTCATATCCGAAAGATGACGAAGAGTTTCCGAGCGTGTATACAGTTTTTAAATCATTACATTGTTCGCATTTTTAATCCCCTCATGCTTTTCATAATTTCTTCGTATTTTTAAAACTTCGTTCTCGGCTCAGGAGGATCCTAGCAAGCTCTGCTTTGCAGCATATGGAAGTTTTTAAGTGACAACAGCTTCTATTAAAATTTGGACCCGATTGGTATTTTCATTTTTTGTTAGGAACATTTATTGAAATGTAGAATGACATATACTAATGACATATAGAATAACATATAATACTAAATATGAGAGGATTGGTTTCGCGCAATTTTTTCCGTTTTACTTGTATTTGGTTAATATAGCAAAATACGCATTTGAGCAAGGGAAAAGAATGAGGAGTGGAGGGGAGAGAAGGGAAGGAGAGAGGGAGGGAGACGGCGCAGGCGGAAATTCGAGGTCCGAAAATCGCGGAAAACGCACCGGCGGCGCGTCGCGTGCGCATGCACGCACGCACACGCGTGCGTGAGCGAGTGAGTGTCGAGAGGGGTCTTCCCCGCTCCGGGTGCCAAACCGGTAAGGCGGCGGTGGTGGTGGGTGTAGGTGCGTGTTATCGACCGGGTATCCTTCTGGACGGACGGACGGCGTGTGCCCCACCCTGAACTGGGTAGGGAGCTGCTCTCGGGAAAGCGAGGGAGCGAGAGACGGAGATAACGAGAAAGAGAGACGGAGAGAGACAGATCGCGGCACGCAGAATACCTCCTGCTTAGTGATAGCGTAGAGACTGTAGTGTTCACATCACACCACACCACCTAACCAAAAATTTTTCTCGTCACCGTTCTAAAAGAAAGTTCGATATATATATATATATATATATATATATATATATATATGTATATGTATATATATACACATATATATATCTGCACGTCACAAGTTCGTCACAAGTTAGTCGCGCCGCAGACACGCACACTTTTAATTATTGTTAGTAACCACGAACGTACATATACATACGCACACGTGTGTATATATATATATACATATACATATATTTTGTACACGCGTCCGCGACAGGGGCCCTTTTTCTTTCCTGATCAAAGGGCGCGCCCGGCGAAAATCGAATATACCCACGAGGAGAGAAAGGAAGGGAAAGAGAAAGAGAGAGAAAGGGAGAACGCGACAGCGATTGTGCCGGGAACGACGTTGATCTCTGCGTTGAAGAATTATTGGCGAAGAAGAGGTGATGGTGCTTCCGTTTCGTCCCGTTTTGTTTCCGCTTCCGACGAACCCCGGAATCATCGCGTTTGCATCCCCCTCTCTTTCCCTCCGAACGCGAGACAAGAGGCTTCGACCTTTCTCACCCTCTCCCTCCCTTCCTCCCTCCTCGTCGCTCCCCGTCGGCTGAAATTTTCCTCGTGGCTTCCTTGTCTACTTATCTGTCTAAGACGATAAGATTCCGCCGAGCGTGTCGTCTTTTTATAAAAGTGTCTGTACTCTGTTCAACGAGAGAAGTGCATCGGTCTGCGCCATAGATGGGCAAAACAGATGATGCCGGCGGTCCACGGGCTTCGGAGGTCTGGTACCATTTATTGAAGACACTAGGTCTGTTCTTTTTAGCTAAACTGGCTGCACTAGTTCAAAGTTTATCTTTTTTATTCCATATTTGGAAGGAAAGACAAACTTTGAACTAGTGCAACCAGTTTAACTAAAAAGAACAAATCCATTAGGTCTGTTCTTTTTGGCTGAACTGAACTGAATTAGCTGCACTAGTTTAGAGTTCATCTTTTTTACTCCATATTGGAAAAAAGAGGTAAACTCTGAACTAGCGCAGTCAGTTCAGCTTAAAAAGAACAAACCTATTGACAAATTAAAAAAACAGTGAAGGAAGAGATCATGGATGAAATGGACGGATTTTTGTCCGATGCACGATTCTGTTGAACAGAGTATACAGGGTGTTTCTAAAACGTCAGAGATTTTAAGGGCGTATTCTAGGGGTCAAAATAAGAAAAAAAATTCCTATAAACATAAGTCCAAAATGCTTTCCTTCCCGAGCCTCCTAAAGTTAGATGTATTGTAGCTCTCTCAGATACTTGTTTACAGATTGTTGAAAGTCTTTCTCGATCTGTGAAAGTCTCCGAGAAGAAACACCCTAGAGATGAGATTAATGTGGAGTGTGATAGGATTAATAATTTAATTTGTTAACTTTTTCCTGTTAATTGTGCATATTCGTGTGATAGACTCGGCATATCCTCTTCGAAAGTTTGAACGAGATGTTAAAAATTCTGTTGGAATTATTAGATAAAGGACGCGTGAGAGTTGACATGACAGCCGGTTCATTGTCAATAAAAAATATTTTGTCACGTTCGAAGTGTGCAGTTATACGTGTTTAAATTGTAACCTCGACTTATTGAAGATTACATTCTCTCTCCGAGAACCCTGGAAAAATTTCTTATATAATATTAATTTTTTTTACAATTCAATGTACATATATATTAATATATCATTAGTTAATTATCTCATATTTAGTTTTTGCAGAAATAATATTTAAAAATTTACGGAATGACATTAAACATCAAAATTCTCTTTGTCAATTATTTAAATTCTCGTAAGATAATTTTTGACGTCTCGTATCATGAAAGCTCGATAAAAAATGTATTTTCTTAATCTTGTCATTGTGTGTATAAAAGTTTCATCTATTTTCTCCAATGAGTCTTCTAACTTACTTAAAATACTTTCACACTTCTCTTTTTGCTAAATCCAAACGTTTAGAGTTAAGAAGCATCCCCTTTCCCTAAAAAATCGCGAATCGAGAAAAAGTTCACGCAGATAATTAACGCGAGCACCATCATCTCGTCTCATATTAGTTGATCATTTTGAAGAAGAGGAGCCGGAAGGGTAGTAAGAAAACCAGGACCCAGGACTAGGCAGGTAGCAGCAGCAGCAGCAGTAGTAGCAGCCAAATTCACAAAAGATAGAAAAAAACAGAGTTGAAAACAAGAGAAAGGTCTCCCGGTCGTGACCTTTGACCTTCGACCTAGCCGTGAGTTACGAGCGTCCCCGGATCCCGAGGAGAACCATCAAGATCATCAGGATTATTCGCTCCTCTCGACCAGGAAGAAGTGTGTGCACAAAAGTGATCGTGATCGCAAATAGAGAAGGAGAAACGAACGAAAAAAAGGATCATCGTCCACGAGGACTTCTCTCTCCGTCCACACCCACGTTTATCCTTCTCTCTCTCTCTGTCTCTATCTCGTGCGCGTTGTCCGTTTCGAGGACCGGAAACGCGCACTTAACTAACGCCGGTGCCGCTCTTCATCGTCGCGAGTGCTGGAAGCCGAGATACTGATGAAAGACTGATTTTCTTTTTTGCGTTGCGTATTCAGAAACGGTTTTTAAAGCATTTAGAGTGAGACTTTTTCAATCTTCCGCTTTCTTTTTTCTCTTTCTCTTCGTCTCTCGCTGGTTCTTGGGGCGTCGTCTTTGTTCTCTCGTCGTAGTTGTCTTCTCGTCCTCGCAGCGATATGGGCGGATGTACTTCGAAGGATACCACGTCGGGCGATGAGTATGTATCTGAGAAAAATCTTTTAAAGCGATGCGAAAAATTCCCTTATCTCTTCTCCCCCCCCCCTCTCTCTCTCTCTGTTCTTCATTATTGTTTCTGTTTCTCTTCGCGGTATTATTGTTATTAAAATACCATTATATATATATATATATATATATATATATATATATATATTATTATTATTAATTTAAAATATAATATAATTATAATTTTAAATATATTAATATTGTAATTATGTGTATTAGAATATTTTAATATAAAACAATGACATAATATTATGTATGTATAAAGAATATAAAATATTTAAAATTGACTTATAATAATACATTAAATCTATTAAATTTATTAATCTTTTATTTTTCGCAATAATTTCCTAGATATTTTAATGAGAATGTAATCGTGTGAAATCGTAAAATATTAGCGTGACTTACTAATTTTTAATGCGAGAAAATATATATATTATAATAATAATATTATTTTATTACCAAAACATAATTTTAAACATTAATATTTTAATTGTTTTAGAGTATTTTATTGTTACGAATACATAATAAATGTTAATATGTAAACAATATAAAATATTTAAAATTATTATTAAAAACTATTATTAAATTTTTATAAATTTTATTTTTTGTGATAATTTTCTGGATATTTTAATAAGTCTCTTAGATAATATAGTATATCAGAATATATATTAAGGAATTTTAATAATGTTTTTAATGAGAAAATTATATTAATATTATTAACATTTTATTACCCCAAAACAAACTACAATTTTAAATGTATTAATATTTTAATCGTATTAGAGTATTTTAATTTTAATTTAAATTTAAAACAAATACGTAATCGATATTGATATATAAAAAATACAAAATATATATTTAAAATTCATTAATAATATGTATATTAAAACCATTAAATTTATTAATTTTATGTTTAGTAATAATTTTATGCTAGATATTTTAATGAGAGGGAAAAACGTTAATTATTATAATAATAATGCATTAAAATAAAAATTCATTTTAATGTTATACGTTTATGGGAATCTTAATAAAAAAATCTAATAGCCGGAAGTCATGGACTTTCATTTCTTATAATTCTCTAACAAACTTGCCAGGCTCTAGGGTCTCGCGACAGTTTACATGCGACATCTCCGGATTTTCGCGCGACATCGTCCTACGTAACTCGGTGATGGTTTAATGCGACACCATATCCATGCTCGACACCCGCATGCATTCGTAAAGGATTTCGCTCGAGCTATTCCGTCGTCACCTCTCGTTCGAATCGACGCATAATAAATTGCCGTTTTCGACGAGCGATGGGCGGCGTATGCTCGTCGCTGGGTATATGCGAGTCGGAAGACCAACAAACTAAGAGCGACGACAAGGTCAACGACAAGGTCGATGACAAGGTCGATGACAAGGTCGATGATAAAATTGACGACGACGACAACGACGATGACGAGTACGTATGGCTTATTCGGCCCTTGACCTTAGGATGCATCTCCGCGAATTCGTCGATTCACTTTTAACTCTCCTCGACTGTTTTTCGAAAAAAGTGCTTTTTGACCAAAAACGCTTTCAATATAAAAAGTTGCTAAATTTATAAAAGGTTGTTACCTTTTGCAGTTTTTTTGGTTAAATTTGAATCTGAGGTAAAAAAATTGAAATTTTTTAAAAATTGCAGATACAATGACGGACAAAAATCTAAAAAAAAATTGCATGAAAATTTGTATCTAGGGATCTCTCAAGCCATTAATTTTGATTTTAAAGTTAAAATTTTTTCAATTTAAAATGTCTAATATTACGGATTAAACATCTAAAAAATTAAACTTTTTTTTTGTATTTTTGATTGCTTTGTTGGATTCATTTTAAATTTGGAAATTTTAATTGTGAGCGCTCTAATCAGAATCTTTAAAAACCTTGAATATCCAGTTTTATGCAAATTGAACAATTTGTTGAATTTTTGGTAAGTCATTTAAAATTTTAAAATTTTAACTTTAAATTTAAATCCAGATTCAACACTAAAAACCATAAAAATATACCAATGTTTTAATTGCTGCAGTAAAAATACTATTTTTTGAATGTGCAGATTTTTTTTTGTCATGAGCATCTAGGTAGCAAGCATACGTCATTTTAACGTGAAATAACGTCATTTTGACATCTAATGATGTCAGTTTGCTACTTGGGCACTCTTTGGTCAATTATTTAATTTGGTGGATATTTCCGTCATGAACAGACAAGGGGTTAAAATAATATTGGAAGCGAGTGTAATAGTTGTCGCGTAACTAAAAATATTCTCTGTGCTTCTTCTCTCGTCTAAAAATAAAATTAACATTGAAATTCTCGTTGATATCGACAGTTTTCAATATTGTTTCCAAATAAAAAAACGGAATTTTTAAATTTAATCTTTAAAAGAAAGAAAAATCGTTAATTTATTTATTATAGTGTATCCTAGAGTCAAGGGACAGACAAATAAAGTGCACCACGCACCATCCAATGAGAGGCACACACGTGCTGCACTGGCTGCAAGGAAATTATAAGCCACGTGATTGATGAATTAGATATAGCGAAAGAAATATAAGAAACGTGTAAGTAATACGTCGCTGTGGATAAAGTAAAGAAAAATTAATCAGCAGATTATTGCGTCATCAGATGATTCAGGCTAAAGTTATGCGCCGATTTAATCGGATTTGCGCCAGATATTCAGGCCGAGACGCAACAGATGTTGAAATACTTCGCACTCTCGTCATTAGATAACGTCATACGGATGCAACTGTGGCTGGCTCTTTACAGCATCATTCTTTATCTTGATGTTTTGCACGCTATAAATAAACTATAAAGCGAGAAATATTACATTATCAATTGAAGGAGCGATTTTTAAAAATCTGAAAACATTAATTTTAGAAGATTGTAATATATCTAGAAATTCAATTTTTAAAAATTAATTTTGTTAAATTTTGAAAAACTTAATTTTAAAAGATTTTATGATTTAAAGATTGTTGATTCGAATCCTTCAGTTGAATTATGAAAAATCTAATTTTATATTCTTGTTATAATAAGAATCTTAATTTTTTTGGCGTCTGACGTGTGATCGCTCAACGTTTTGTTACAGCAAAAAGAGCAACAACATGGTGGACGCAGCGGTTCTGGACAAGCTGGAGTCCGGCTATGCCAAGCTGGCGGAATCCGACAGCAAGTCGTTGTTGAAGAAACACTTGACGAAGGAGGTCTTCGATCAGCTCAAGACCAGGAAGACCTCGTTCGGCTCTACTCTCCTGGACGTCATCCAATCCGGTTTAGAGAACCATGATTCCGGCGTCGGCATCTACGCGCCCGACGCCGAGGCGTACACAGTCTTCGCTGAGATCTTCGATCCCATCATCGACGATTATCATGGCGGCTTCAAGAAGACGGACAAACATCCGCCCAAGGACTTTGGCGACGTCGATTCCTTCGGCAATCTCGATCCTACCGTGAGTTTTCTCCTTGATGTACAGGGTGTTCCATTTTAATCTATAACTTCTAATACGAGCTTGTCATGAAAAATATTGAGTTTTTTAAATTTTTACAACTTTATTTTTATTTTTTCCACGAAGAATTTATTTATAAAGTAAAAAAAAACTGCATTCCCATTGAAAAAAAACAAATAATCTTCCAATAACAAGCGGTATCCAGGAAAGTCATTAGCGCTCGAAAACTTTATTTGAAACATTTTTTTGTAAAGTGACAAATAATCATATTAATCGAGGTAATAGATTAAAATGAAATACCCTATATATTTAAATTATATAAAATATCTAAAAAATAAAAAATTAGATAATATTCTTAAATTTTACAATATTTTTTCTTTTTTCCTTATAGGGCGAGTACATCGTGTCGACTCGCGTACGATGCGGCCGCTCTTTAGATGGTTATCCGTTCAACCCATGCCTGACCGAGGCCCAGTATAAAGAGATGGAGGAGAAAGTATCTAGCACGCTGTCCGGTCTCGCCGGCGAACTGAAGGGTACTTTTTACCCGCTCACTGGCATGAGCAAGGAGGTGCAACAGAAACTGATCGACGATCACTTCCTCTTCAAGGAGGGCGATCGTTTCCTTCAAGCGGCGAATGCCTGCCGTTTCTGGCCGACCGGACGCGGCATTTTCCACAACGATGCTAAGACCTTCTTGGTCTGGTGCAACGAGGAGGACCATCTCCGCATCATTTCCATGCAGATGGGCGGTGATCTCGGACAGGTGTGCAACTATTTAGTAGAAACGAACATTTAAGGGGATCCCTCAGCGGACTACGAACGCCGACAAAATAGTAGCGCCTTCATTTTGGAATTAAAAATAATGATAATTACCAATTGATTTTCGGAAAATAATTATTGATATTTTGAATTTCACATTATAAATCATCCAGATAAAAAATGATTAGAAATCCATGTCATTGCACACATGGAGCCACTTTTTGCTACGTTTACTATTGTAGGTTTGAACGTAAATATGTATTGCTGTTTTTCGCTCTATTATACCTAAAACGCACGCACACATACGTACGAATCGTAATACAAACTATACTTTAGACTATTAGATTTATAATCTAGATTTTCTTTCGTGTATCTTACAGCCCAGGGATCTTATGTTAATATTCACATATAAAATGTATATTTTTTATATAAAGCACAATATGATGAATTAATAGCTCGTTTGTCATTTGAGACGTCATATAGAGACAAAAATAGATGAGGAAAACTGTAATTTCAGATTATATATCTCGTTTTTCAAGTGAAATCGAACTTCCCTGGGATCATTGATGTATATATTTCAATTGTAGAGAAGCATTTTTATTTCTGTCAAATGAATGCGACAAAGGACTAGAAGTACGAAAATAATAATTAGTCGATAAAATAGACAATCGTGAAGGATCCCCTTAATTAAGAACTTTGCCGCAATTTTATATGAAATTGGAAAAATTAGTTTATTTTCTCTTATGTTGTAGCTTACGATCTGCTAAACAAAAGATGTAATAGGTTCAACGCTAAATGACAATACTAAGTAAGACCTCGTGTTTCTCATATTTGACTAGTTGTAAGTCAATAACTGTTCATTATTTAGCGTCCAATTTATTACATCTTTTCTTCAGCAGATCACGAGGTACAACATATGAGAAGACTAGCTTATTTTATTGAGATCCAATTTCGTATAGGGTTTTTTGAACCTCACATTAACCTTAAAGAGAAAAAGACAAGGCTCTAAAATATTTTACTACTTCCAAAGGTATACCGGCGCTTGGTGACGGCGGTGAACGAGATCGAAAAGCGGGTGCCGTTCTCGCACAACGATCGCTTCGGCTTCCTGACCTTCTGTCCGACGAACTTGGGAACGACGGTGCGCGCTTCGGTGCATATCAAGGTGCCGAAACTCGCGGCGAACAAGGAGAAGCTCGAGGAAGTCGCGGCCAAGTACAATCTGCAGGTGCGCGGCACCCGGGGCGAGCATACCGAGGCCGAAGGCGGCATCTACGATATCTCCAACAAGCGCCGTCTCGGCCTCACCGAGTACCAAGCTGTGAAGGAGATGAACGACGGCATCGCCGAGCTCATCAAGCTCGAGGCCAGCCTCTAAAAAACTCAACCCCCGCCCCCACCCTCGTATTCGTTTACACTCCATCCGTAGCCCCGTCGTGAACGTCACGATGTATTTACGTGACGTCACGCTAAGAAATTTGTGTCTACGACAGAGAATTTTATTCCGAGAACGAATAATATTTGTGACGATGATTTAATGCGGTTTCCAGCTATTTCTGTATTTTATATATATATATATATATATATATATATATATATATATAAATTATATATAATATATATATATTATGTATATTAATATTATAAATCAACATCATAATATTAATATATAAGAACGGAATAGCCTCGAGCCGCCATTAGACGAGCGTCTTAAGTTGATTCTTATAGATTTGTTCTCGTCATCATTTATTTTCAGAAGGAAATTCTCACGTCGCGGATGCAGTCCATTAGAGCGCTGTTTAGTATGATGTAAGTTGCTCGCGCTATGACACGTGCTACCTCCTTTTTGTGGCGTATATATTTTTGGGAATAAATTAAAGGAGAATTAGTTTGTGTGAGAATAATATATGCATGCATATATATATATATATATATATATATATATATATATATATATGTATGTATGTATGTATGTATGTATTATGTATGTATAATTATAATGAAGTTAATATATCTCTGAGAAAACAGAATTATAATGCAAGAAAAAGTAAATTATTATTTGTTGAACTCTTTTATTAATTTGTACTTGCTATTTTTTGTTCTGTTATTAATCTATATAATATATTCCAAGTAGCAAGCGTGCATTTTGACGTCGAATGCAGTCATTAAACGGCAAAATGACGTCATTTTGATGTCAAATGACGTTATTAAACGCTAAAATATCATTTTACTACTTGGGATATTATTGTATTTTGTTATTAATTTATTAAAGATAAGAATTGATGAGGAAACGAAAGAAAGTGCTATGAAAAGGAGAAAATTACAGAGAGCAGCTTGCATCGTATTCCGCGCGTTGTATTCGACAGTATTTTAATTTTGTTCAATTGTTCCTTTTTTTTGTTTTTAATACGTAATTTCGAAAAATCGGGAAATTCTCGAGACAACATATTCGTTCTTTCGTTTTTTTTTCTTTGTCGCAATCGCGCTATTATATTCGTTACCGATGACACATAGAGTCACGCGCGTCTCCACACTTAATTAAGTAGTGCTGTAGTGCTAGTTCCCAAGCAAATTCGTCGTGATTGTCTAATTAAACGAAAGATAATGAGGAAAAGGAAAAAAGAGATCGTTGCCATTTAAAGAAATGTCCTCGACGACGATTTTTAATTTGTGCGATCCGTTTTGCGATCTTCACGGAACTTCGGAGGGTCGAGGGTGCTGTTTTTTCGGCGCTCTGCGGTTTTCTAGTCTGCGAATGGTGGAGCGAGACATATTCACATGTTTTTTCATTCTCTTTTTTACCACGTGAGAGGCTGAGAAGGGGAACATCTGCGCGACGGATATTACACGCACTTTAAAAACACATGCGAGTAAGCGCTGCGACATATTATAGAAAAAAAACAGTGTAACTATCAACCGATTCGACAAGATGTACGATGAGAATGCAAGTAATGAGACACGAAAATAAAAAGACATACACATTATGTATATCGTTGCGTACTTTATTTTATCTCAATTCTTTCCTTAGTTCTGATTTATATGTATTTCACATTACGAATCCTGATGACATCCGTAATTTTCTATAAATTAAAAAATATAGCTCTACTACTATATACTTATTTTTTTTTTCAATTTCTCTTGTATTTTTTTTTATTGCTGACTGTTATAATAGGTAACAATTTATTTGTAATTATTTATAAATTGATACTCTTTATCTATACTTTGTTAAGAGATTACTAATCTCTTTATGCTTTTTACATTTCTTTAATATATGTTTAATTTTAAGAGTATAAACCTTGTCTTTTCCTTTTTAAAATTGTTTGACTTTTTATTTATAATAAATAATAAATGTATTATTATAAAAAGAAATATTTATTTTAAGAATATATTATTAACATAAAAAGCATATTTGTGCCAAAATATATATATATATATATGAGAGTATAGAAATATAAAATAAAAAATATAATTCATATCACATAATTGTAAGAAACGATGTGAATCAAAATTTATTTGATTTTCATTTTTACTAGTAATAATTTATTTTTATATCTCTAAAAATTATCTTATAAATATATGTAGGTGTAACAAGTATTCTTATTTATTTATTAACAAAATTAATATAGATGCATTTGAGGATCATATTTCAATAATATAATTATATCAGTAATGTGGCATAAAAACGTATACGTAAGCAATATAATTTTATTTGGATCAAATACAAACGTATCTATCTTTATAAACGTATATATCTTTCTTACAAAATATTTATATTATTAAACATAGTTTATCGAGTAAGTTGTAAAATCTATTTATTACATTGATGTAAATATATGTATACATATATTAATATTGTATAAAATTAAACATTTGTTCTTTGTTCTCGCTGTTCTATATTAATTCCTTACATCATATAAAATTTTACAAATAATTATATTTGTATTAATACATATTTTACAGCTACTAACAAACTATTTATATAAAATAAAATTGCATTCGGCAACAGATCAGAGTTCAATTTTGACGTATAAAAATTAAATAAAAATTTATTGATTATACATATATATGCGGAAGATAAGTATAAATAATTATAATTTATATTTTAAAAATGAATAAAAATTGTCATTTCTCAAAATAGTAATTTATATTATTCATATTGTTATCGTTGTTCAATATTCGGATGACAATTTCGAGGGAAGACAAGTACATGTATTATATTGTGAAATTACTAAATAATTCTTTAAATAAACACGGCGCATTGATTACCATATATTTGTAAAAAAATAGAGAATTTCTCTATTATACATCGAACTCTGTATTTTCAGCAACGAACGCAAGTTCGATCACATTTTTTGCGAGTAAGTTCAGCTTAGTGTATAAAAATATATAGCAAAGATTATTGAAAAACAAAGTGATTAAAATGAGAATAGCAATATGTGTATGCAGCTAAATCTCACAGCTCATTCGGTAAGATTCTATCCTAAGTACGTGTGTATTTGATGTTTGTTTATTTATACTTTATGTGCAAAGTATTTTTTATGAGTACATATAAGTTTATATAGTATAGACAGCGCCTTTTGTGTTTTATTTTCTTTTCTTAAATATTAAAATAGATTGATCATTTTGGATTTTCGAAATACATGAAGTCCTGAAACATCGAAGAACATTCTAAATGTACATAAATTAAATATATATATATATATATATATATATATATATATATATGTATATGTATATATATGTATATGTATTAAAATATAATAACAATATAATATTATAAAGTATATTATGTAATATTTAATATTTTAATATTTATAATAAAATAATTTAATATATTTAATTTAACAATTTAATATATATATATTAATTTAATTAATTAATAATTTAATATTTTTATTGTAAAATATAAATAATATAATAATGTATGTATATAATAATTTTTTATAGTATATATATACACCTATATATATCACATATTTATATAATTTAATTTAAGTTTAACTTCTTTACGTAATATTTTTCTCATTTTTCTTCTTTTGGATTTTTCGTTAAAATAATTGATTTTTTATGATACACCAAGATACTCACTATCAGAAGACAGGCTCCCAACAGTACGGCCTTTATATTTACGTCGAGATCGTGTGGAAAGTTAATGCCAAACTTATCGGAATCGGTAAAAGTTCTCGACCGATACCGCTCCATTGCTTCTGGATTCTGCCGACGCGATGCTTCTCATCTAGGGATTTGATCTGTAGATTTAATCAGATTTGAAGAATGTTAACCCATTTTTATGCAATTTTCGCAAACGTTGATTAGAAGTAAATATCTTGCCAAATTTAATAAGTATCATATGTTAATCCTCATTATTATTGAGAACTTTCGTTTCATAAACTTTAAAAATCTTTTGATTTTCTCTTAATTTTAGATAACAATTCAATATATATAAAATATAATTAAGTTTATTATAAATAAAAGTAGTATGTTCATTTTTTAACTATTTACATATATAATTTATATTATATAAATTATCTTATCATTAGTTCTCATTATTGTTATTATTTATTCATTATTACATTATGTTAATCTGGTTAATCAGACATTATATATTTTACTATATTCTCTATCAATACTGATTTACGTATAATTATACTTCTAAATCAAAGAAAAAGAAATTATATCCTTTACACGTTGATTCTAATATTAATAATAATATATTATTAAAAATTAGATACATTCATTTTTCCAACCTTTAATTATTATTAATTTTCATCTATATACAGGATGTCCGGTAACTAACGGACCAACGATCACAAATGGATTCTTTGGTCAATTTAGGAACGATTTTTCCTCAGCGAAAATGTCGAAAAAAAGGTCATCATTTTTTACAACTTTCCAATATTTGTCATTATGTATCTTTATAACTAAGCTTCAAATTAAAATCTTATTATAGTAAACTCTACCTGAAATTAACTGAAGAATGTAATTATGTTAGACTTTTAACTCCAAAACGTTTAGTTTTCAAAAACCCATTTTTTCAATCGCTTATAACTCGAAAATTATTGACTTCTCAACATTTTTGCTAAGGAAAAATAGTCTCCAAATTGCCAGAGAATCCGCCCTTAATCATTGGTCCGTTAATTACCGGACACCCTGTATAGAAAATTATATAGGATTGAAGATAGAAATGTAAAAAAAGAAAAATATAGTTTTAAATTTCCTGGATTCTCGCCGCGGCTATGTTGGATTATTGTGACATCATTGATTGTAAAGGGGAAAAGATAATTTTTGAGGTATTTTAAAAGAGTACTAAAGCCATCTGAAGTGCTGTTTAATCAAAATATATCTTTTTATTTCGAAATGGCATCTAAGAATTTTTAGCATGTGTTTTCTCGCATCTGACGTCATAATTCCAACTTGGTCGGCGAGGAGCCAGGAGTCTTAACGCTTAATTAATATTTTCGTGAAATTACAAAAGAAGTTAATAGATGTAAACTTATCAAGGATTGGGTAATAACTATAGTTAATTAGTTAATAGTTAGTTAAAAATTAATAACTTTTAACTTAGTTAAGTTAGTAGTTTAATTAATTTAAAATGTATTAATTTTTAACTCCAACTAGTTATTTTTTACCTTAAATTTTTTTCCTAAGTTAAATTTTTTTTATCTCTAAATACCATTATTGTTTTTATAAGTTATAAATGTATTATTTTTAAATTAAAGTATTATTAAGATTCATCAAAATTAATATTGGACGCTAGTGGTGAAAATAAACTTGGCAAAATAGTTAAAGAGGAACACGTCAACGACGAAACATCATAGCGATGGGACGTGTTCCTCTTTTAACTATTAATTTTAAATAAGATCGGTTTTATGTCGCGTTAATCTCATTTTAATTGATGGACATTCTCACTTGAAAAGGACCACAACCAAATGGTCGAAACGTCGTGAAAGTATTGAATAAAATTGCTAGTTACGTCGAAATCAATTTTTCCAAGTTAAAGTATTATTAATTTTTATGTTCATTTGTCATCAATTATAATTATCAAAAAATATATTTCTATATAAAAATCAAAATTTCTGTTATTATAACTCTTAAAAGAATTAACAAACAAAATTCTAATTTAATATAAATAATATTTTTAGTAATTAACTTTTGATTTAACTTGAATTAATTTAATCATAACTTTAACTCTGAGTTATTTTTTGTTTATGCGACTTTTAACTTAATTAAATTAATTTTATAAGCAACTAACATTAACTTAATTTAGTTTTACAAAATCATTCAATAATCTAACCCTGAAACTTATAAGAGTAGACTTAAAGAAATGTTGCAGTACCTCAAAATTTACTTCAACGCAGAAGCGGAAGATCGGTCCCTTTATCGTTAACACCGGCTGGCCGGATGCGTTGCGAATGTAGAATATCGGTCGCCAGAGACTCCATTCTTGAGTAATGCTGCCCAACAGAGTACCCCCGGAATAAACCTCTAAGACCTGCAAATATTTTCGGAATACATACCTCCAATATAAAACTTTAATCGTCTACCTAAAGCTATAGTTTTATAACAAAAAATGAATAAATTATTCATATTTTAAAATAAATATTCTAGTGATTAAGTTTGAAATAAGATTTTATTAAGTTTTAAAATGAGATTTTATCGATAATCTGAAGTTTTCTTTAGTTGAAGCATAAAGAATGTAAAGATTGAACGAGAAATCGACATTGAAGTTTTCTTTTTAGAGTATTGATCGAATTCTTTAATAGTGTGGGCGAACTTTCGTCAAAGGTGAAGCTGACAGATGGCTCGCACGTGTGAAGAAACTTTGGCATACACAGGGATCAGTAGCTCTCATTTCGTTTTTAAATCCTGCCTTTAAATTTATTATTATTTCTTATTGTCTTTAATGTTATCTTTCTCCTACTCCATTAAATGTTACTTATATTCAAAGTTTTTTTAAAATTTTAAATTTTAAAATATTTTATTATAATTATAAATAAATTAAATTTATAATTATTTATATTTTATATTTATTTTGAAATTTTTTAAATATTTAATTTAAAAAATTATAAATAATAACCTAATTTTTTTCTTATAACATATTCACTTTAAATTATTATATATCCGTTACATTTCTTATATTTACATTTTAAGATTAAAGAAGACTAAAAATAAGAGTCCCAAAAAAAACCATTAATAAATTTTATATAAACAATATAAAACACAATAATAATAAATTATCAGTGAAAGAAGACAAGACTTGTTATAGCTAAATTTTTCCCTTTCTTTAATAAATATCCCAAGTAGCAAACGTACGTCATTTTGACATCGAATGACGTCATTAGATGTCAAAACTTGGAATATCTCAAACTAGCGTCATTTTGATGTTTAATGACGTCAGTTTGGGATATCACTGCTTTTGCACAAATTTAAGCGAAAAATTGCAATTGCATTTTAATAATCCTAATAAGTTTTAAACCAACTGTCGTAAGAATGACGAATGAGCTGATTTTCGTGGAGAGAAATTTTGATTTTTTTTTAAGGATGTGTGTGTGCAAGACTGAAAAATCTCTCTTGATCAGTGTTTGCTGTTATCTAAATAAAATTATATAGATAATCATCTAGATGAAATTTTTTGACATTATTTTATCTTATATATAGGTACATAGATATAGATAATAAAAATATATATTATTTATATCTGCATCTTAGATAAAAAGTGTTATCTTTACTAAATTATTGAGAATAATATACGAGTATTTAGATAATTTGCTTTAGAGTTATATAGTACATAAAAATATTTAAGTATAGTAGTATTTAAGCAGTAAGCGATAAAAAACAAATAAATGTATAAATATATTTTATATCTCTTTTATAATTTACATTTTTTTATAACTGTATTTACATAAGCAGTCTTAAAAATAATATTATCTGGAAATTATCTAGATGAGTCGTATAATTTTATCTTTTATCTAGAAATATTTAAAAGAAAATCATCTTTATCTTATCTAAGATAAATTTGCATATTTTTATCTCATTTTTATCCAGCTAATTTTAAAATCATCTATGCACAACACTAGTGCTAATTATTCGTTTTCGGAATGCAGTCTTTGCGTAGAAATAGTAGTCGTAATAGACTAAAGTGAAGTAAATCCAAGTAAGTTTACCTGCAGATAGCAGGGACAACAGCAACTGTCGCATCTGAAGGGCCGAGTCATACGCAGGATCTCCCGGCGATCTCGATCGTAGACACTGAATTCGCAGGAGCGGTACTTGCCCAAGCACATTCGCGAACAAATGCCCGATTCCTCGGCCACGTAAAACACTGGTTCGCCGCGGATGTTCGAAACAGCGTACCTATTCTCAGTCTCCCACCCGGTAAAAGCTGTCATTTAAAGAGATGTAACGCCAAATGTATAATATATAATATCATAAATAACATATATATACAGTGCTTATTGTTATCTAAATAAAATTATATAGATAATCATTTAGACAAAACTTTGACGTCATTTTATCTTTATATAGATAATAAAAATATGTATATCTATATCTGTATCTTAGATGAAAAAAGTATTATCTTTACTAAATTATCTAGAATAATTTTCAAATAATTTTGGTTTAGAATCATATAGCACATAAAATACTTAAATAGTAAAATTTAAGCAGTAAGCGATCAAAATTTATAAATAAAAATATAAATGCATATATTTTTATATCTTTTTTATAATTTACATTTTTTTATAACTGTGTTTACATAAGCAATTTTAAAAATAGTATTATCTGGAAGTTATCTAGATGAATCGCTATATAATTTAGCTTTTATCTAGATACATTTAAATTTAAATCATCTTCATCTTATCTAATAATAAGATAAATTTACATATTTTCCATCTTATCTAAGATAAATTTACATATTTTCCGTCTCACCTTTATCTAGATAATTTTAAAATCATCCAAGCACGACACTGCACATATATATATAATATATAATACAATTAATAATACAATTTGGTAAACATGCATATATATATATTAAAAGACTCATTTTCAATAATCTTGATTTAAACAATATATTAAGATCAGCTTGAGTAATATCAAAAAAGTTTTAATAGTCATTGTTTATTAGAACAATATTATTAACAATTAAATTGTATAATAAGAACAAGTAATATATCGTTAGTTAAATTACACTAATTTACAGCCAAAAATTATTTTAAATCAAAGTGTTTCTCATATTTCCAAAATAATTGAGGTTTAATGTGCAAAAATGACTTTTTTAAATATTTTTATAAAAAGATTTCTTGTATAAAAAGTTAACATTATCTGAAAAATCTGATCAAATATCATAAATGTAATGATTATCCCATATAAAATGCATTTTTTTAAATGTTAATATCTTACTTTTAAGTCATGTTATGAAAAATTAAAGCTGGGAATTACTTATTCTCATATGAAAATACTTTTGATAAAAGAGTTTTTGGGAAAAAAATTATTTTTCCAAAATTAATTTTACCATTATTGTCCTGCTATAGATATAATACAACTTTTGTCTGGGACCTTTTTTTCGAAAATGCATTTGTTTCGAAAAATTCATTGTGGATAATTAAAATAAGACACCCTATATATATATAAATATACATTTGGAATGGAATCTATCATCATAAGTTACACTGTACATGTTTTTGAGTATCGATAGTCTTAAACTACAAATTATGAATATATAATTATATGATTTCATCATAAGCAGGGTATTTGTTATCTTATTGTTAGCAAAAAATAAAAATATTCACATTTTATTTACATAGGGCATGAACAATATACATCATGACATATTTAATCAGAATTTTCAGATAACGTTAATCTTATTCACAAAAATATCAAATATAGCAAAAAAGCCATTTGTTGCATATTAATTCTCAATTATTTTGGAAACCTGACGTGCTAATGGAAGTTGGCTTGAGGCATCGTTTTCAGCATCTAAAAATCTATAAAACGCATCTTGTCTGATTTAAAATAACGAAAAAAATTTTTTATAAACTTTTGTTATTGTTCGTATAGCCTAATCCAGATCGATCTATTTTTAAAATAAAAATTTTTTTAGTGTTATTAGTTTCTTGAGGGCAAAGTGATGCAGAGGAAAAAGTTTTCGCCTATGTTTTTATTTAAATACTTTTAAATATACCATTAATATAAAAAATTCAATAAACTCACTAAAACTTGGATTTTACTCAGTTAATCTTGACAATATATGTCAAGATCAAAGTTTTAGAATAAACCTCTAAAATGTAATATTTTCCTGTTAATATTTTGCTCCCAGTAATCTACTTTCTCAAAAATATGAAAATATAATAATTATTGAATTATACACATTATACAATTGTACACATAATAAATACAATAAAAAATAAGTTGCTATTGCGAGAGATAAATATATGCGTAATTCTATTTACAAAAAGTGTTAATCACGTAAGTGATAATAACTCTTTCGATGAAAGTTTCACGGATCTCGAATACACACTGTACTCGCGCTCGCGCTACAAGATGTTTTATTTTTATCTCTCGACAAAGCCGAGTGCTCACCTTCAAATAACTCAATTTTCTGGTTCACGAAAAGGTAATCAAGGTCCATAAGGTATTGCAAGCCGGGTAAATATGTCGTACTCGGTGGTAACCAGCCAGCTGAAAAAGTGACGTTCGATAAGCGATGACGTTTATTCGATACACAATTCATTATTGGTATAAATAACAAATACTTAATATGTCAATACTATAGACATTGGAATATATATATATACATATATATCAGGGTTGGGAAGTAGCGAGTTACTTGTAACAAAGTTACAGTTACAGTTACTTTTTTTCAGTAACTAATATAACTTAACTTCGCTACTTTTCTCCATCTGTAACTGTAACTGTAACTTAGTTACACTTTTTTAGTAACTAGTAACTATTTTAACAGTTACTTTATTAGTTACTTTTTTGGAAACATGTACTAAAAGTATCGTTCAAGTATGGTAGCCGTTATATTGTTATTAAATTCTGATAACAAATTAAAGCATATAGATCTTCATATGATTTAATCTTTTACTTAAAATTCTCATTTAGTGTACATAAAATAATATAATTAAGATCGACCAATCACAGTCAAGTATTTAAAAAAATTCTTAAATGTAATAATTGGTCGATTTGCTTGCAACTTTGCGATTACTATTTAGTAAGTTACTAACTATTGTTACTGTTGTATATAAAGGTCATTCCCCAAGGAGAACAAAAGGTCAAAATTATGTCAATTTAACATCATATTGACTAAATATTGACCAAAAAAATGATATAAATTAGTCAATATGACATCATTTTGACTTTCTGTTCTCCTTGGGTTCATACATTGATGGTAATCGCAAAGTCGCAAGCAAATCGATCAATTATTACATTCAAGAATTTTTTTAAATACTTAACTAGCTGTGATTGTGCATAAAATGTAAGATCCTTATATTTAAAAAATGTATAATTTTAAAAGTAACTGAAAAGTAACGACTCGTTACTTTTTGAGTAATTGTAACTGTAACGAGTTATTTTTTAAAATCGTACCTTATTGTAACTGTAACTAGGTACTTTTTCAATGAAATAACTGTAACTGTAACTAGTTACTTCCAAAGTAACTTTCCCAACCCTGGTGTATTGTATGTATGTATGTATGTATGTATGTATGTATGTATGTATGTATGTATGTATGTATGTTATATATTATATATATATAGTATATATATTATATTTCTAAAATATCATTTCCGATAGTCTTATTTACATGCTCCGACCAATCAGGGCAAAGTCCAAGCATGATCCAGCTAGTCAAGACAAGATACGAACACGATCCAGCCAGTCAAGGCAAGATCTGGACACGATCCATCCAATAAAGGCAAGATACGAACACGATCCAGCCAGTTAAGGCAAGATACGAACACGATCTATCCAGTAAAGGGAAGATACGAACACGATCCAGCCAGTCAAGGCAAGATACGAACACGGATCCAGCCAGTCAAGGCAAGATCTGGATACGATCCAGCCAGTCAAGGCAAGATACGAACATGATCCAGCCAGTCAAAGCAAGATCGTTGGTGGTTCTGTCAACTAAAGTAAGATCAAGAAGGATCCTGCCATCGAAGGCAAAATCGAGAATGATCCACTCAAATAAAAATTTATCGAATTAATTGTTCGAATTGTCTCCATTGGCTTGGATACATAATGCCTATCTTGGCAATGTCTTACTGTCTTAAGTAACATATCGTGCGTTATCCTTCTGCAAGCTTCTCGTATCCTTTCTATTATTTTCTCTCGTTGTAGGCGTTTGCTCGTACGCGACATTTTTCAGGTATCCCCATAAGAAAAAGTCGGGCGACGTCAGATCAGCAGATCGTAATAATTTTACAGGGACATAGAGGGATACGATAATAATGCACAAATGGTTATTATACTTACTAAAGGAAAAATGTATACAAATTATCAATGTATCCCTTCATTATCGCTCAAGGATTTTACAACTACGGAAAAAATAATGCCAGACTATACCCTCGGAGATCATTTATATTATTTCATTCTTGGAGAATGTCATT